GTTTTTTCAATAAAAATCTAACATGCTAAAAAAAAAAAAAAACTGACATCGGATTCCCAATGCAAGTCTATGGGCAGCCATGTGTAAACAGATGGGCATCCGTTTACGCCGGGTTAACCCTGCCACCAGCGGGGTCTGGAAACATTGACAGATCAGAGATCCGTTTTGCCAGACTGGATCATGCCGGATCGAAGGTAATCTTTAACAAACACATGTCCATATACATCCAATTCACCATAGACACATGGGGCCAGTAACTGCAGTTTTTTCATCCATCACAAAATGGAGAATGAAATTGTGTGGACACGGATGTCACAGCGGTGACATATGCTCTGTACTGCAGTAAACAGGAGAGGATCCGTGCCATCAACCCGTGTGAAAGGGGCCTTACAGTAAATGTGGTTTTCGTCCAGGAAACTCTATTCATTCCAAAATTAAACATTAAAATCAAACTAAATTTCAATTGATATTCATCAAGTTTCTGATGGCAATATCAGGTGGTAAAGAAAGTTTTTTTTCGTACGAACGTTCATTTGGAAATCTACTAGTACATGCCCAGCTTTGGTATAAGCCTTTTGCAATCCTCTGTACATCAGCACACATACTGAGAGAGGGAGGGCAGCTCTGGTAGGCCAATTAGTGTGCTACATACAAATATGCAGACAAGGAACATGCTTGCAGGAAAAAAGCAGAGAGCAGGATTGTATCATCCGTCATCTGCTGTGTATTTGTTGTCTTATAGACTTATAGATTAGGGGCAGGGAGGTGATCAAGCTATATTGTTTAACTGTAACAGAGAAAATGCAGGTCACCAACCTGTCTCTGCTGTCTGATAGGGCTGTGCATATTTCAGAGCTAACTGGACAATAATACAAATTCTTTGATCGCTAGAACAGTTCCTTCATATTTATTTATACTCTGCTTCTAGCTCTTTGCCTGGCGTTCAGCTTTAGGCTAGAACTGTTGATGTGCGGTACAGAATAATGAGACATCCAATATAAGAGCTTGTGTGGGGTTTCATCTTATGAATGTGATAAACAAGGTTCACTTACGAATGAAAACCATCTTGTTCATTCTTCAATTACATCTGCCATGGTAACCGTGATGTGTGCGTGTGTGTGTGGCTTCAGCAAGCACTGGTGTATATTTTGATTAATAAACTTGTTACAGAAGCAGCATAGCAATACATTTGGCTATCTGTACAAGAAGGCTATAGATAAGTCTGCAGGATTGAAAACATCCCCAATTATTCTGCTTTGCATCTCTCTGTAAGCAGACTGGGTTGAGCTGGAGGCGGTTTTGTTTCTGACAGCGCATTACTGAGCTGCCCAGCCAGTTTGTCAGAGTACATACGCTCCTAACCACACACTGAAAGCCATTTCTTTCTACTCACAGGCACAGGTTTTCCCTGCAGAATTCCTTCGCAAGAAGAAAAAAAACACACATATACACACACACAGTGTGGTGTTCCAGTTCTTCAAAAAGCATTCTGCATGTCCTTCCTTCCAATCAATAAATAATTTGCTCAGAGACATCTTGGAAGCAATGAGCCAAGATATTTTCTTGTATTTCTTTCGAAGCTGGGTATTTTTGTGCCGCTTCCTTGAGAACGCCTAGACGTAAGAATGTAGACGTAAGAATGTAGATCAATAGTCAAATAGCCAAAGCAGAATGGAAACGTGAACTAAATTAGGTCTGACTGAGCCCTGAAGAAGCAACAGAAAGATTGACAGTGATGCGTAAGTGGCTCTGGGATTTGTGCTAAGTATGGGCTCTGTGGAAGGAAGCTGAAATCAAAGCATCAGAGCATAATAAAAATCCATGATAGATTGCGTGGCTTGGCATCTAAACATACACCACAGCGTTGAAGAGGGGACGGTGAAAGCCAGGGCAGGTGCACATATTATCAGGGGCTGAACAAGAATACGATAACTTCATTTTTGTCTTAGCCTCATTTTGATCTCTGTCGCCTGTGCATGAAGCAAGTGCCTTTAAGGGAACCTTAAAATAACAGCTCTGCCAGGGAGATCTGATGAATGTAACAGGTGCAGAGATTATTTCCAGGCCATGTGTGTGCGTCTGTGTGTAACAGCAAGAGGGGGAGAGAGAAAGCAGAAAGGGGGAGAGCACACTGATGTCCCTGCTGCGTTTCTCTCTAGCCTGTGAAACTTACAGCAGATTGCCTTTCAGCGACCTAATTTCTAAAGAAAAAGACCAGGAAGATCGGAGAAGGGAAGAAGAAGAGGGTGTCAACTAAAAGGGCTATTTTAATTCAATTCTCGCTGCTGAAGGAAGAAGCTTCACTATCCAAATGATGTGGCCTAATTTTTTCGTGCAAGAGGAGGAGCAGCGCTTTTCTGGAAGGGGTAGAGGACAGCGTGGAAAAGGCTTGACTGATGCACAAGAGGGCAAGATCAAGCTGGCCTTTTTTGTGGCCCTGATAGGGGTGACACTTTCTGTGCTGGCCGTCGGGACAGAGTTCTGGGTGGAGGTGAACACATATAAGCAGAACAACAGCATGACCTGTGAGGCAGCCCATTTTGGGCTATGGAAGTTCTGCTACAAAAAACTGTGGATTGGAGATGTGGATGTATACCGAGCCACCTGTGGCCCCGCGGAGCTGCCTGGAGGTATAGTGCTTCTGTTTTATGTTGTGCTTGTAGTGCTGGCACTGAACACAACTTGCTCTAGGGCATAGCAAAGTTCAGAACGGAGTGCACCGTACCTACAGTAGATACATAGAGCTGCAGGGACAGTCACATCAAGGCTTTATGCTAACGTTTGCTCCCTAATGAATGGTTTGCTATTTTCTAGGTTATATATAGAAAATTATTTCATTCTAGCATTAGTGTCCATCTTGATGTCCAGCAGGAACGTGCAACATCTCAAATGCCTGAGGCCAACATGACATGCGGAAGTAATTGTGTTAAAGGTGATTGCCGGGGGAAAATAATGAATTAAGCTACAGATTTCAATGTTAGCTATTGGTCATTAAAATGCAGGCTTTCATCTTGGGTTTATTTGCCATATATCATGTCTAATTAAGATTTTTAAAGTGTTTTAAATTGTCTGTTTTATATTAATTGAGCAAACCA